TTCAATAGTAAAATGTGATGATATCGCGAGTTACATCACAGTGATAATAGTACCCCGTATATCGCAGAACAACCTAAAATTTTTCAACTATTGGTTAGTTTAAAGTATTCAATACCATGTTATTTTATTTTAAATTATTTTTTTTTTTTTTGTATTATTATTGCAAAAGTGTATTTTATATCCGATGTTATCCCTTTTCTTTAAATAATTATCTAAAAAGAAATTTAAAGGATCAAGAAATTTTTAAAAAAGAATTTTTTTATATATATTATAATATAATATATAACTTTGAATTGTGATATAATATAATAAATAATAGTATAATATTATATATAGTCTCAAATTATATTAAAACTATATGAATAATTAGTCTCAAATTATATTAAAACTATATGAATAATTTTATTAAATACCCTTTATTAATTTAAATTTTTTTTTGGCAAATTCTTGAACAAAAAAAATAAACTAGATATATTTTTTATAGAGAATAGCCCCTTTTATCTTTACAACTTTTATAATCTTTTCTACTATTATAAACTTTCTTTGCATTTATTGTATTAGAAATGGTAATAGTTTATACAATAATGCTAATACTGAATATTCAATTCCTATCAAGACAGCCAAATACTTAAAAAAATACTATCTATTATAATATCTGAAATATTGATATCTGAAGTTGCACAAATATTAATACTGGAGGTTAAATTGTTATCTGAAACTTGGATCAAAGAGAATATTGAAAAATGTTAGAATTAAATAATTACTGAATATTAAAATTTATCTTTATTAATTAATCAATTTATTTAGAAAATGAAGAATCATATATAAGAGTCAAAAAACTAGAAAAAGAAAATACTAAATTTGTAAAACAATTAGACTTAATAGAATATAATAGCAACAAGTTTTTTGAAAAATCAGAATAGCAAAAAATGAAATAAAAGATTTAAAAAAATTTTTGATTAGTTTAAATCAATTATAATTATTTATAGTTAAAGGATTTGTTGAAATATTTGAATAAATATTCAAAATCAATTCAAGTATTTCAACTAACTCATAAATAATATTGTGATAATTCATATTTCTATAACATGATATCATCAGAAAGCTTGTCAAATTGGACATACAGTTTAGAAGAAATTTTAGAAGATAAACAAGAAAAGGTGATAGAAAAGAATAAAGAATTGATGGTTAAAAATATGAAAAATTATCAAATATAAGAAATCATTAATATATTTAAAATGTGATAAACAAACAAGAAAAAGTGCATAAATAAGCAAAATTATGAGAGTAGTTAAGAAATTATTAGAAAAAAAAGTAAAACATTTTAGAAAATATTTGGCAAGATAAAATCAATTAGAGCTAGTTTTAAAAGAGTCAAGCCAAAATCTTTAAAGATAAAAGAAAAGCAAGTGAAAAAAGGAGAAAGAGTAGGAAGAAAAAGAAAAAAGTGACAAATAATTTAATCAATTGATTTTGTAATTTTTTGTAATTTTTTAATAAATTTTATGAAATTTGTTAAACTTTTTAAATATTTATTAAATTTTAATACTGAATTTGTAACTTTTATTAAATTTTTTACTGTAGTATACAAATTTTTTTGTGAATTTTTTGCTATAGTATTAATTTTCTTGTGAAATTTTTTGTTGCAATATGCAAAAGAAAAATTTTTTTGTCACAATATATAAATTTTTTTGTTACAATATTGCTAAATTTTATGCTATTTCAATACTCTGAAATTTTTTGTTGATGTTTATAATGTTAAGTGAAAGCAATTAAAAATAATTTATCAATGTTTTTATTATTATATTTTATCAAATTTAACAATAAATTAGTTGCTAAATAATATAATTTTGACTATTGCTAGCAACAGAAATAATTATAAGTTACAAAGTAAAGTTTCTTTATTGAATTTTATTTGAATAAATATAAGATAGAATATTATAAAAGTTCAAACTAATATAAAAAGTTATTTTCTTGTTCAAATAAAATAAGAATAAGTAAATATTTAAAAAAACAAAATCAAATTAATTCAATTAAAAAGTTTTTCAAAAAAAAAGTAATTTAATATAGAAAAACATTATACTACATATTAATATAATTCTAATTTTTAATTAATTTATATTTGAAAACAATTTTATAAAGAAATATATTTATAAAGAATCTTTTTACTTTCAATAATGAAAAATCTATTTTTTGAATTTTTTTGAAACTTATTAATTCAAAGAAATTTATAATTCAAGTTATTTGTAAAACAGTTTGACAAAGTAGCTCCCTTTGACTATATATTTATGCAATTATATCTAGACAAGCATTTATTAAGTTCCACCATTATATTATATTAGAAAGAAAGATAAAATAAACAGAGAAAATAAATAAAGAAGAAATGGAGTACTGCTTGTGTTCTATATATAAAAGGACAGACACCTGCTAAAAACTATTTTTTAGCGAAAATAATGTGAGTACAGATTTATAAAAGAGAAGATAGGAGAAATAATTGAGTACAAGAAATGTGTTCATATTTGTTCTATATTTGTTCTATAGTGGGTTCTACTCTAAAGGAAGACTATTATCTGGAACTACTCAGTCACTGTGCAATCTACATTGAGAAAGAAACTGTCGCTGTATGCTCTCCTGAAGTCTAGCTCTTTTACTAGTATTTCATTATGATCCTTTTTTGAATCTCCCGAAATAAGATCGGGCACTCCAATTTAAAGTTGTCTTTACTATGGGAAACCCATTTTATTTACTTTGATTTAAGTCTTACTGGCTAGCTAATTTAATTAGCAAATATTTATACAACTCTTAGCAGATGCTGAAATTATGACTAATGTCATAGCTATTTATATGAACTAGTTTTCCAATCTCTCAAATATAATTTGTACAACATATAGAAGTTAATTACTAACGCTGAGTAGAAAAAAGGAATATATTTATGCTGTATGTCTATTTGGTCACTTTTATGTAGGAGAAATAGAGGATGAATGCACTTCTTGGTGTAGGTCTGATCAACTATGCAATTTTATTTCTTGAAGAAGGGTTGTGAATGATATTATATATATGGTATAATACGTAATTTTTTATTCATCTGCAGCCATCTAAATACATACTTAAATACTTAAAAATTTGCATTGCACACTACTACGGTTGCCTTGGAGAAAATCTGACCGTCTCCGTTAAATATTACAGGAAAGTCGCACCGTTCCACCATCAAATTATAAGCATCTCTCTTTTCCCATGGTCCCTCCATAAAATGAGCTTCTATGGAATCACCGTGATTGTACCATTTAATTATTGGTATTGGCTCTTTTACGTTCAAAGAAAATCGGAGTTTAATAGCGAAACGGATTAAATTTATTGCCTCTGATTCCTTCGCTTTCGCATCCGAAACTTTGCGATGTTTGGCCATTTCGCTAAGAAGTTTACCGGCGAGCCTTTTAATAAAAGGGTGATCAGGTTTTTCAAAACCCTGTGATACTAAAGTTGCATAACATTGTTGTCGTATTCTGGTCAGAGCCACACTAGTGACGTTATCAATAATACTTGTTTTGAAAATATCAGTAGTATGATGTACCAATTTATTAGTATGGTACAATATACAACGCTCCAAACATTTTAACCTTTTGAGTTCCTTTTCTGCATCGAAAATGATTTCGAGGGCAACTCGTTGGAGAACAGAACTTAATAACGATCTTAAATCTTCTTCTTTAATATCTTTATCAACTTTGCACTTAAATTTAGACAATAATTTGTTTGCTGAATCATTATTTATCTTATCCGTACTGTCTACTTGAGTGAATTCGTAGATAATATGTTGCAATTGATTAATATCCTTGGTGATTTTATTAGTGTTGTAAAATGTGTCGTCTCCCCAACGGACATTTAAGGCACTTCCGAGAGAGGCCTGTAAACGAGAGGCCTTAAGATTGGATTCATTAAGTTTTCTTTTTAGATTATTAAGGCTTTTTGTCAAATTTTCGTTTTCACGTTTAAATGACTCGATCTTCTTTTCTATTATATACAAGATATCATTATGGTAATTAGTCCGTGTGACCAAACTACCGTATTAATGAAATATACGTAATAGCTAAAATATGCTAAGTAAAAAATAAAATAAAATAAAAATAAAATAAAATAAATTTTTTTACCTAAATCTTCAAAAACCTCATTTAACAGCTCCCGCAACAGGTCATTCTGACTCGCTCCTCCCAACTTGTACTCATTGTATATTCTCACACTCGTCAAGATAATCCATTTTATAAGGAAATTCAACAAATCTCTACATTTATTTTCGAACCACTCAAACAGACAAAATTTTTCTTCCAACGGAACTTTGGTATAGTTAGTTTGTTGCATAAAGTTATCATTCTTTGTCGCACTCATGCTTGCAGTGTTAATGTATAGGTCTAGAATAATTCAAACAGCTTATATACTGTAGTTAACTAATCACCGACCGTTTCATGTATCACCACGGTCAGGATAAATGATTCTGATAAAGACGATGATTTATTTCCCTTAGATTAAAGTAAATAAAATTGGATTAATTAAATCAGTTTATATAGGAATAAATTAGATTAAATTTAACTAGTGTTAATATATCATGTGAATGAGCAAATACTGTATATAGCTAGATTTAGTCATTTCATGTAAAACCAGTGATTCAATTTAAAGTTTGCGGTAATTTTAACAAACACTGTATCTTAAGTCGAAAATTATATTCCGCCTCTAAATCAGATTTCGAATATTTAAATCGGTCTAAGATATTTTCACAATGTTTTGCACAATTTTTCTTTCAACTATTTAACTATGAGCGACGATGTTCGTATAGTAGTCGCTGTTGGTAATGTCGTTTTTATACGTAGGTCACCTCACTATTTATGCTAAACACATTTTCTTCTCTTTTTCCTTGAAGATTTCGGAACAACTTGCTCGGGTATGAATTACATTGTTCATAAATATAATTCCAATTTGCTAAAATATCTTATAAATATCTAGGGTTTGCGTATTCTCATACTTATAACCCCGAAATTACTTGTAGAGAATCATGGTAATTTTATTAAATGTTGAGCTTGAATATATATATATATTTATTTATTTATAAAGTTTGTATCGCCATTACTTTAAAGGCCAGGTCCTAATAATACTCTTATCACCATCCCAAAAACACATACGTTACTTCAATATGACAAAAATTGGAAGGTGACAGCATGGGGTGAAGGTGCTCTAGTCGAAGATTAAAATATTTACGATAATGATAAGATACCCATCGACGAGAGGACAAAGACGATTGTGGAGTATTTCAAACTTCATCTGGCCGATATATCTGACAAAGAAAAGCCCTAATTTCCTCAAGGGTTGGACTATCGTCAAGCAATTAAAGATTTTCTTGAGAAGGTGATACTAGTACGTATATTCAAATGTTCGATTTTATTTATGGAAAATAATTATCCTTATTTTTGAGAAATTTTTGGCTACTTCTATATGGTAGTTAGTAAAAGAGACTATCAACAGAACATGGTTAGAAATAGAAATGTCTCAGATTCGATTCGTTTTTACAGTACCAGCACAATGGTTCGTTCTTTATACGGTACTGTGTACACACAAACTACTCCTACGTATTTACAGCATACCAATTTAATCTCTCGATGCTTCAGGCAACCCGATAAAATAGGAATTTTTCAAGAATGTATATATGCAGCCGGAATCGATTAGAATGAAAGCAACTTGGAATTCACCACTGAACGTAAAATTTCATTTTAATTGGTAACATTGCTGAAATTTCCTTTGAACTGAGATTAAATTTATTGATCTTTTTAGTGGAAGCGGCTGCTCTATACTGTATGGAAAAAATGGATGAACATAATTTATCAATTGGAGGTTAATTATCGTCAATATCTAAATATAACTCTGTCAATATCATTGTCTCAATACTAATTGAATATTAATCCGTTTTTTTTTTTTCTTGTGCGTTAGACTCATTTCTAGTGGTTGACTGCGGCGGTGGTACCGTTGACTTAACGGTGCATAAGATATTAGGGGATAAAACAATTGGTGAAATTACCGAACGTTCAGGTGCCCTGTGCGGAAGTACTTATGTGGACAGGAATTTTATCACTTTCTTGGAAAAGAAAGTTGGTAAAAATGCAATCGAGATACTTAAAGAAAAGTATCACGAATATCAGTATCTTATACACAAATTCTTCGGTCCACACGTCAAATTTGGGTTTAATGGAGAACCTTCTGAATTTAGGAGAGTCACATTGGACTTCAGTAGATTTTGTCCTACGCTCAAAAAATATGTAGGGAGTAATCGGATTTGGATAAGCTTCGAAGATATTATCGCTATGTTCGATCCAGTTGTGGAAACAATAACTGACCTTATAAGAAAGCAACTTTCTAGCACTACACAAAATTGTTCGGCCATGTTTTTAGTTGGAGGTTTTTCGGAATCTCCATATCTGACTAGGAGGATAAAGGATACTTTTAAGACGACAGTTCCGTACATTTCCATTTCTCAACATCCAATCACTAGTGTTCTTCGTGGAGCTGTTATATATGGTTTAAATAAAGGGGCCATAAAAAATCGTATTCTAACAATGTATTACGGTAAGTTAAAATTCGTACACATCCTAAAGATTATTAATGCATCGATTCTTACTATGGATGTCTATACACACGTATTTAGGTGTTGAGATCCATCCAAAGTGGGAAACAACCGATCCCATAGGTCGCAAAACTCGTGAAGGTCGAATTGCCAAGTTTAATTTTCTTGCTAATCGTGGACAAACAATCGAACTTGATGAAAAATGTTCTGGCACATACGTACCCATATATCCTGATCAAAAAGAGATTTGTTTTAGAGTTTTTGCCACTCCAAGATATAATGCTAAATATTGCGATGAACTTGGTATGAAAGAGATTGGAGAATTATATGTTGATTTACCAGATATACATCTGGGATTGGATAGGCCCGTAGAATTCTCCTTAATGTTTGGCGAGCTAGTAATTACGGCTACAGCCATGAATACAAAAAATGGAAAAGTTTATCGAACCACTTTTGACTATGCGAAGTCAGATTTCGTCTTCAATATGCTTTAAAGATTTTTTTTCTTTCGTTCTTTTTTTAAGACTTACTCATTATCAGAGAAAAAGCTATAATAAAATAATTTTATATTTGAAGTATATCAAAATGATATCTTTTTATAAATTTTCTTCCTTTAACAAATACAAGATGTGAAAAAATTATAAATTGGGAACAGAGCCCGGGTATTCATAGACGGGACAAGATTATAATCCTTTAAACTTGACAAGACAAAGATAGTACAAAGGCCAGAAGAAGAAAGAATAGAAAACTGAAAATTGATAGAGATTTTTAACAGATGGGATTAAATATGAAATGAAATGTTTGGATTTTAACTAAATTCAGAACTTGGTGAAGTGTTCTGCAATAATAATCTGTAGATAGAGATTTTGGTAGTTGAAAGGGTATGTACCTGAACTACTAATAGAGTAAAAAATCACTTCCAAAATTGCACATTGAATTAAATTAACAAAAATATGTATGTTAGTGAATTATCTGTAATGATGCATAAATATATATATAGTTTACTAAATATTTAATAAAGTATAGAAATAAGATCAATCACATTATTAGACAATGTTTGTAAAATCTTTAGCAAAACAATTATAGACTATTCAAATGCTTGCAAATGCCTCGGTATTATAAGATCCAAACTGGATAGGCTTACCTGGAAGCAGTACATAAGATTATGTCTATATTCACAACTGTATTACAAAAATGCTAAAGATAATAATAAAAAAGCCTGAACACTTAGTTAAAATATATTTCAAGTATATAATTGATTAAAATTCATATGCACATATTAATACTTAAAGGCATAATGTTTCTGCAACACATAATTAATATAATTTTGTAAATTTTCAAGATAGTCATTACTTATTATGGCTTTGTACAAGAATACAGAGCCATGAATAGAATTAATCAAAAAAATATTATTTTATCCTTATTTAACATATATTCTATAATTCTCTATTATATATTATAAACAATAATTTCAAAGAATATACTATTAAATTATAAGCTCAATATAAATAAACTTCTATTTTATAGTAATATCTATATATATTATATTGCATTAATAACAAAAACTCAATAAGAATTACAAACTATTATTAAATTTTTTTTTAAAGCCGGCTCAGCCTTGTTTATTAGCTTGATAAAGTAATTTGCAACTGTACATTATAGGGATTACAGAGGAAATCATACATGCTATTAAACTTCTTAGGACTAGTTAAATACTCTAAAGAATCCACCAGACGGCTTGTTGCCACTCCAGACTAAGGGAGGACTAACCTGCCAAGGCAAAGTTGACGCTAGGTTCAAAAAAAAATAAGGATATAATATTAATGTTTTCAAGAATAAATTGTTTTATATATTAATTAATTAGGTCTATGTAGCTATTTTTAATGGCTTGTTTGGAAAGGTTTTTTCATATTTGTGATGTTTTTCTTTTTTCCTTGAAATTCATATTCCTCTTTCTACCTTAGGAATGTTTCATTTCTGGCTTTCCAAGTTAAGTACAGGAATTTCTTCCATTCTTCCGATATTTCAGCTATGCAATCTTTTGCTTTGGCTGTATTGCGAATTGTTTGATGGATTGTATCAATAGTGGATTTGAAGAAGGCTCCTTTAATGAATAATTTGAGCTGCTGCAAAGTATCCAGGGTTATGTTGCTTTTTATTGTGGTTAATGCTTGACTTTTCCTTTCTCTAGATATGTGCTTGAGTATTGCTTTCTGGATCATTGTTATGGCTTGATGTTTGATATCTATTTTGTTGTGTTGTCACAGGAAAGGGTGGTAATTGTCTTCCACTTGATTACATCTACAGCATTTATTGTCTTTATATAGTAATGGTTTTCTACTATATAATTTAGTTTTGGTTGGAAGTTCATTATTCTATAAGTTTATTGAGAACTTGCGCATTTGCTGATCTTCAAAAGAGGTTTTTGTGTTGCTAATCTGAGATGGATGTAGGTGGTTATATATTTCTTGCCAATAAATATGTTTGTATTGTCCAGTGAAGTCTGTAAGTGTTCTGTTAGTAAGCATCCTTGTGCAATATATTTTGTCTGGATGATCTTTTTACAAATGTTTTTTGCAGGTATATCAATTTGGATACTGTCCCACTGTATTGTTAAATATGTTTGTGGATTCTGAGTGGATTGAATGTTAAGGGTACTGGTGCCTGGATGCATTTCTTGTGATCTTATACTTATTGAGGCCAGTTGATCTGCTTGTTCGTTATATTTGATACCTGAGTAGGCTTGAACTTTATGTATTTGCAATTTGAGATGTCTTGCAATGCAGGTGTCCTTTATAGTATGTAGCATGTGAAAGTTCTTTTGTTTTCTGATAAGGTGTGATGCTGAGGTTTTCAATATCTGTTGAATGCAACTAATTGCTATTTGGCTGTCTGTGAAAATTCAGCTGTTGAGTTTTCTGGCAAAATTAATATCACAGTTGTTATGGCCATAATTTCTGCTCTTGAGGATGAGGAGTGTATGTGGGTTTGGACTCTGAATGTGTGTTCTTCATTGTCTGGAGTGATGATAATCCAGCCTAGTCCTATGTATGGTTTTTTGTTCCATTTGTTGAGAGAGCCATCCATGTAGATTTGGAAATGTGAGTATGTGGTTATCTTTTTGGATATGTTTATGAGATTAGAAATTCGGTCTTGGCTATCAATGAGGTGTATAGTAATGTGTGAGGATACTGCATTGTGTGAGATGTCTACTATTGAGGGCTGGTTGTAGGCTTGTTGAGTTGTGTATATCTGATTTAATATGGTATGGATTGATTCTGATGAGACTCTTGATCTATACTGAAGATCTCCATTTGATATGGAATGCTGAGAGATAGATGTGCGACTTGCCACAACTGGAATTCTGATAGCTTTTTGTGCCTTAGTGTTGAATAGACAGTTCTGATCATTGCCTCCTTCATTCAAGAAGCATCCATTGCATTTGCTGAGTGGTGATTCATTATTTGTTGTATTGTGATAATGTGTGTAAGTTATGCTACCATCTAAATTGTTTCTTTTCTTCTTGTTAATAATGATTGCATCCTTTATATAAGTTGCTGCCCAGTATGGTTGTTAAGTGTGGTACTCTATTAAGCTAGTACTTTGAAGCAAAGGATTTGTACTGTTGTTTTGTAGGTACAGTGTTTTGATTGTAGGATCATTCATTCTGTGTTGGAGGTTGATGAACCATTCTGGAATACGTCTTGGAGGTTGTTTGTCTCTATACCTAATGATCTGTAGCCAATGAAGTGTGTGGGTTCTCTTAGTATTTAGAATTTGTCCTTTAAATAAGAAATTATGTTTAGCAAGTTGTTTTCTATATGTGCGATAGAACTGTGGAGTTATGATGTCTTCTATTGTTGTGTCTGCTTTGTGTGTTAATGTAATTGCAGGTTTGCATTCATTCAAGAGAAAGTTAAATCCATGTTTTTTGAGTAACAGGATGATATCGTGTGTAAGATTCTTTCCTGTTGACATGATAGGTGTAGTGCAGTGTGCAAGAATACTGTTTGTTGACCAGAAATGATTATGTACCTATTGCAAACGGTGTCTGGCTAGGTCACCTGTAATGTTCTTTTGATTGATTCTTTGGATCCAATTGGATACGTGTACTTGAAGCTGTCTATCCCATAAATGAAAGATACCATATTCAAATGGATTGTAGATGACATTGTTGGGTATTGTGTTTGCTAGTTCTATTTTATGTTTAAATATGCTTGCCAGTTTGCTGGACAATCTGTTGCATGTACTTTCAGAGAGAGTTAGGTTATTCAGCAGGTACTCGATACTGGGGTATAACATATAGTTAATAATATATCACATCTGTTTGTCCGTGATGGCTTTGCTTCCTATAACCAAGCGTGTTTGTAAGATTCTTTGTTTGATAAGTTGTTTTTGATACTTCTTTGAGGCTGTTGCATCATGCCATACTCATAATATTCTAACAGGAATATCATTATCATAGCCTGTGATGTGTTGATTATTCAAGTATATACCTGTTGTCCTGTCTCTGTGGTTGCCATTAATAATAATGAGGAAGGACTTTTATGGGTTGACCTGTATATCATTGATATGGTAGAATTGTTCAGTGATGTTTACAATATGTTGAAGGTCAGTGCTGTTTTCTGCCAACCATGTAGTATCATACATATATGCACTTGTAGGAATTGATGTTGTTTTGCGAATGGTGGGTTGGTCTATATGCCTTGTGTGATAAGATGAGACTGTGTATCCTCTGTATATTGTTTGAATTTTGGACTGGAGAGGGTTATAAAAGATTCTTCACAATAGGGGGGAGATAATATCACCTTGATCTATTCTATCTAATACTGTGTATTCTTCTATAAGCCCATGATATGTTATAACTGCATTTGTTCGATTTTTAAGCAAGTTTGTAAGGAGTGTTGTAATTTGTCTTGAGACTTTGATGCATTGTAATGCCAAGTTAAGCATTTCAATGTTGATTGAGTCATATGCTTTAGACATGTCCTGGCTTA